AATGTTGAGGCCTCGCCTCTCGACCTACAGTAAGGTATCTGAGGTGTGATCGGGTTCAGCATTCTTAAGACCTCTCCAAGCCATTCGAGTGTTTGCCCAAGCTTGAGAATTGTTGTTCTAACCTGTGCCATTGGGTTGATAAACAGATGTTTCGTTTGTTTTATTACCATAGAAAAAGCACCAAATTGATGGGCAGCAACATCGAGTCAGCACTCGAGGCCCACTCATATTTCACCTGCTGGCGTGTGCCAAGGCTCGAAGGAACAGTCTCTCTCTAGTTTTGGTTTTCAAAAACAAAAGTCCATGGAGACCTGTTTCCCACCTGATCCCCCTTCAGCAGCCTGTTCCCAAAATGCCAGGCTCATTTCCCACCTGGTCTCCCCATGTGTTTCTTAGCGGGACCCCCTCCCTAATGTGAGAAAGCCCACGGCGCTACTAGAGAGGATGCTTCTATTTGGGGCACTGGTGGACTCGACACCCACAAACTGGGCAAGTGGTCCCTCCCCAGTTCTCCTTCACCTTCCTGGCAGGATGCAGCTCTTGTACATACTGGCCCCCAGAAGCGACCCTGTTGGCTCCCAAGGAGCCTTAGGCTGGCATGGCTAGAAATGAACTCATTGCTTTGGTTTCATTGTGCTTTTATGTTTGTTTTTGTTTTTTGTGTTTTGGTTTTGTTTGTGTGTGTGTGTTTACACTCACCTCCTCTTTATGGCCAGAGATCATGGCATTTCACCTAAGATTATAATGTTTGCTTTTTAAATGAAGTTTCAGTTATGTAATTAAGTCCCAGAGACCTACTGTGCACCATGGTGCCTGTAGTTAACCAGCCTATATTGTGTACTTAAAAACTTGCTATGCCAAAACTGGTTTGGCTCAGTGGATAGAGCATCGGCCTGCAGACTGAAAGGTCCCGGGTTCAATTCCAGTCAAGGGCATGTACCTTGGTTGTGGGCACATCCCCATTGGAGGGTGTGTAGGAGGCAGTTGATCGATGCTTCTCTCTCATCAATGTTTCTAGCTTTCTATCCCTCTCTCTTCCTCTCTGTAAAAACTCAATAAAATATATTATAAAAAAAAAAAACTTGCTATGAGGGTGGATTTTATGTTAAATGTTCTTATCACAAAAACAAAGAAGAGGGCAGGAAGAAACTTGTGGAGGTGATGACTATGCTTATGGTATTGATTACGGTGATAGTTTCATAACTCATCAAGTTGTATACATAAAATGTATAAATTTTGTATGCCAATCGTACCTCAGTAAAGTGGTTTTTTAAGTCAGAACTCTTGGGGTTAAGCATTATCTTGTTAATTTGGTGTCAGCTACTTTAAAACTTAACCAGAAGTAGAAAGAGTGATTGTGTAAACTAGTGAGTGGTAACCATGAAGTATGTGCGCTAAATGAAAGGAAAACAGCGGAGAGGCGCTGAGGCAGCTGAGGCAGAAGTGCCCAGCTCTGCAGGCTTTTTGACCTCTAGCTCCAGGGGAGGGTCTCAAAATAACAGACACCCAAGATGGGAATGCCACCCTGTCCAGGTGCCCCAGCCACTGATGCTCTGCTTCCATCACGCCTGTCATGTCCATACCGGGCACACAGCAGCCCCCAAGCACCCGCCCCGGCCAGAACCCAGCACTGAAAGGCTGCCCCACGCAGGGGCCAGGGTGTCCTGGACTCACCCCTGCACTGCACGCCCTCTGGGGCAGCTATGCTCCTCCCAGGGCAGAGGGTCTCACCCATCCTGTATCCTTTACAAAAATGCACCCTGACGTTTGTGGATTGCTTGGATAATTTGACCCAGAATGGAATCTTGACCCTAAATGACCCTCCTATCTGAAAATTTCCTGTTTCAGTTTAAGGAAGGGAACAACTTCATCAGAAATTGTCCAGCTTGTGCAGGAGGCAGGGCTTGAAGAAGGAAGAGCTTATGTATGCTTTCCAAGGGCTTTCCTGCCCACCCTTCTCGAACTGTTCCAGCTCGTGAGCTGGGCAGATCACAGGAGTGGCCAGAAAGAGGACAGGACAGAATTAGGTGGAAGGTGTGAAAGGTCAACCTGCCCACAGATGCCTTTGTGGGGTGTGTGTGTGATTAGTTACTGAATAAAATATCACTTCCTTGTTGGTCTGCAAAACATAAAAGTACCCACAAGTTGGTAAAATATATATTTTATTTGTTCATACAAAGAAATAGTATCAATTACCAGAATTTCATTTTCCTAGAAACGTCTTTCTCTGTGTAAAATTAAATTGTGTTAGACATAGGACAAAATACGTGATTTAATTTTTGCACATGTTGGCTACTCTAACATCCAGGTTACAGGAGGCGCTGCTCGAATTTGCACAGTATTTAGATTATGAGGCTGAATGAAATGCAGTCATAAATTAATGTTACAAAAGTGAAGAAAAATTGAACCACACCTTTAAGTTTTATTGACCATCCTTTTTGACAAACTGAAAGGAAAAAAAAAAGACAATGACTTCTGCGTCAGCATTTCAGATACAAATGTTAAAGTAGAACCTTGGTTTTCTTTCTTATGAAAACACCCTGGCAGGATCTGAGACTGTTCCTCCAACGGTCTCAACTTTATCTGTCACTCAAAAGTACCTCTGAGGGAATCCCAGGAGACAACTTCTCCCCCTCCATCATCCAATGCCGTCCCTGCACCTAGATACCTTCCAGGTGCCACCTACCAAGTCAACAGACCACCACACAAACACGAAGAGAGGAACAACACAATCCTCCAACTTTTTTGTTCATGTTTTTGTTTTTAATGAGAAAGGAACAAAACTGAGAGGAATAAAGTGTCCCAATGACTACCAGAGTGTTTCCTGTAAACTGGAGGGAACACAAGACACATGCCAGGACAAACTGCCAAATATGAGCTGGTGTCTGTCTTGTCTTCTGGCAGCTGAGGTTAAGCTGGTGGCCTTGCAGTTTGCTAGACCAGGAAGGAATTCTCAAGGCTTACTTCAGTGTGTAGCCTAGATTCTCTGAGAGGAAGACCTGGGGCACGGGCCCTGTGACAGCTCTCACATGGCGGGTGTCACTGTGGGCAGAGGCCCTGTCCAGATCAGGCAGAACTGCAAGCTCACAGACCCCTATGAGCAGATACACAGGAAGTCTGATTTATTTGTTTTACACAGAAAAACTTGCTCTGGTCCTTCAGTGCTAATTATCGACATCTGTTGGGATTCAAGGACTTGACCCAGAATAGAATCTTGACCCACTTCAGTGTGTATGACTAAATGACCCTCTTTCTATCTGAAAACTTCCTGTTTCAGTTTTAAGGCAGGGAAAAAACAACTTCATCAAAAACTGTCCGGCCTAGAGAGAAGGCAGAAGCTAGAAGGAGGAGGAATTCTACATTGTGAGGGCAGATCTTGGGAGTGTCCAGAAAGAGGACAGGACACAATTAGGTGGAAGATGTGAAGACTGACTTTTACTTTATACTGTAACTGAAAAGGTGTTCTCAGTTTTCAAATGAGCCATCTTTATATATATTATTTATTTCAGATAGGAAGAGAAACATCAAAGATGAGAGAGAATCATTAATCAGCTGCCCTCTGCATGCCCCACCCTGGGGATCTAGCCTGCAACCTGGGCATGTGCCCTAACCAGGAATGGAACCGTGACCTCCTAGCTCACAGGTCAACACTCAACCACTGAGCCATGCTGGCTGAGCAAGTAATTTTCTATTATTGTTATTATTATTGTTGATTTTTAGAAAGAAGAGAGAGGGGGGAGAGAGGAAAAAAACAACAACATGGATTTGTTGTTCCACTTATTCATTCATTCATTCATTCATTCATTCATTCAATTCTTGATTCTTATATGTTCCCTGACCGGAGACTGGAACTGCAACCTTGGTGTACTAAGCCATGGCTCAAATGAGCCTTCTCCTGGAAAGATACACAACCAGGTGGCGCCCTATGCAGATATCTTTGTACCCAAGCAACAAGCGGGGGAACCATGCTGAGATGATGGCAATACCTTAGGCACAGGTGCTGCCCTACTTGGTAGTGGCAGTAACAAAGCTGGGCAATGACTAGAACATCTTGGGAATGCAGAGTTCCGATTCCCTTCCTCCCATACAGAACCTAGTGGGAACGCTTTTCCTGTTAAGCATAACCTAGCTAGATCATCACCCAAAGACCAGTGACATCTCTGATCGGTTTCTAAAGATGAATTGTTTTTCTCTTCATACAAATTTTCTAGCTCTATGGGGCAAGTTACGCCTTAGAGCATAAAAAGTGTCCTTTGTAAATATCACAACCCAACTATTATGACAATATGTGTATCTTTCCACATACACCTTGAAGGATGTATAACTCAAATAACAGTTCTTTTATGGTAGAAGCATCCTGAAAATTAGAATGCTTCTACCATAAAAGAAAATTGAGGATAAAGTGAATGTGTCATGATGTGATATTGCTATGTGGTTACCCAATTGCCATTAACAAGTCATCACAAAAGATCCCCGACTCCTCTCTCAACAGAGAGGTGTGGGGAGAGCATTCTGCGTCTGTAGCAGGGATTCTGGCAGCTCCTGTGAGGGCCGGGCTGAGACAGGGACGGCTGCACACGCATCAGGCAGCATGAAGCCACTCTCCCAGCCTGTCCTTGCAGGGGCCACTCCTGCACCTCACTGTTTGCTGTTGGCTACACAGACCATATTGTCAATCTGCAATGAGCTAGGAGTTCCAGGAGAGGGGTCCCAGACATGAAGCAGGACTTCCCCTCCCCTGCTGGCCACCTGTCCTCTGTGGGCCTTCTCTCTTCTCCCGCTGGGCTGTCAGCCCATTGAGATGTGCCCCGCACGTCTGGCTCTGCACTTGGCAGCACCTTGGTGGACACTGATGGCGTGGGATGCACCTGAGCCCTTTGGGTCTCAGCACTGGGCACCCTGGGTTTGTGCCTATGGCTCTGCTCGCCTAGGAGATTCTTTGGTGTGTCAAAGCAGAACTGTCTGCCTGGAGGACGGAGCACGGTGCGCTCATGCACATGGAAGAGACCGTCTTTATTTCTAAAGCAGCACCCGAGCATCTCACACACGTGACCTGGGAAAGAGGGGCTAACGTTTGCATACACTTCGAGCTGGTTAATGCCACAGGGACTAGGGCACAAGAAGAGGCGGGGTCATCCTTCACACTCAGAATCTGAAGTTCACGGACCCTGGCGCACAGGCTCTAAGGATGTGGATGTCCCTGCCGAGGCGGTAACCTCACATGCTGAGCAGGGAGAAACTCTAGCACCAGGGCCCGGCATCTGCGTCCTTGGGAAGGGCATCCCGCAGAGAGGAAGCTGCTCCCCGGGGCCCCGCTTTCCGAGGGCAGCCGTGCAGAGGCGGCTCCTGTGTGGTACTCAGGCAGGAAGCGGGGGTGTGAGACCCACTCGGGGGGCGGCAAGTGAATTCAGACAGCGATCGAAGACTGCGTACCCGTAACAACAAAAAACTCAAGTTGTGCTTTTCTTCTTTTTAAATATAACGGGGAAGGAGGGAGAAAACGGAAGCACCATCCATTGTGAGGAGGGGAAAAAAAAAAAAGGACAAAACATTATAGAGTTAAACACTTTGGAATGTTAAGAGATTATGAAGGTAACTCTACAGAGTGCGGCTAGGCAGCTTAGTGAATTAATTGCTTATGAATTAAAAATAAATTATTATAAAATATATTTCTGTACATTTTACATACATATAATCTCTCTCAATATATAAGCCAAGTGGTCAACGACACGGGCCCGGGGGTAAGGGATGGGGAGAGGAGAGGAGGAGGGGGGCCTTCAATCCCAGCCGAAGTCGTGCCCGGTCATCTGGTAGAATTTGCGGTTGAAGGGCCGGTAGAAGTCGCGCAGCCTGCGCACCACGTCGGGGTCGATGTCAGGGTGCGTCCTGCCCTTGGTCTTGCCCAGGCAGTGGGGCTTGCTGCTGCCCTCGGCCTTCTTGAGGCAGGGGAAGCCCTTGGTCTTGTTGAAGTAGAAGTGCTTGTCGGTGATGATGCGCTTGAGGCCCAGGAAGTCCTGCACGCGGCCCAGCTCGCCGGCCGGGTCGCTGATGAGCCGCTCGCCGCTCACGAAGAGCATCTGGCGGCGCGGGAAGTGGCGCAGCCAGAGCTCCAGGTGCTTGGCGTAGATGCCGATCTGGATGGCGCTCCACGACGTGTCGATGAGGCCCGCGCTCCGGTTCCTGAACGTCAGGCTCTCGAAGGTGGGGATGTCAGGCCGCTTGGACAGCGTCTGCGTGTAGTCCGAGATGGCCCTGGTCACCGGGTCGCGTACCACCACGATGAGCTTGGTGTCCTTGGACATGGCCGAGATGCGTGCGGGCGCCTCCCGCGTGACGAAGTAGCTGGGCGTCTTCTCCATGGTGATCTGCCCATCCAGGGTTCTGGGCATCAGGTCCCTGAGGGAAGAGAGCAGGACAGAGGCAGGTCAGAAGGTGAACCTCTTTGGCCACACCTCTCAATGTCAGCATTCCCAACCCTGGCCGCCTCCTCATTGGGAACAGTTGTAGAAATACAAAAGAAATGCAAGCAGAATTTCTGAGCTGAAAGACACATTACTGTCCCACCTGAAGTTTGGAGGCCAGACACTAGGTACCGGAAGCATTAAAGCACCTTCTAGGAGGTGAGCAGTGAGATGCCCATCTCTCTAAGGTAGGTGTGTCGAACTCAATCAGAGAAGGGGCCAAAATCTAAAATCCAGCCTAAATCGCGGGCCAAATGGTTTACTGAACAGTCATAAACTGTCATTGTGATGGAAACACAGCGGAGTGCATTGATGACAGCGCGGTGCGGGCCACATTGCAAGGCCTGGCGGGACGGATTTGGCCCGCGGGCCTCGTGTTTGACACATGTGCTCTAAGGTACCCTCCTCCTGGCACCTCTCCCTCATTTCCCAGGGTTTCCTGCTTCTACCCGCTCCCAAACTCTGATGCCAGAACCAAGTGCCTCTGGGTATGTGTCTTCCCTAAATAGTAACACCTGGGGTCCCCCAAGATTCCTCTGCCCACAGCCCTCACTGGCCCGCCTCCAGGGGCTCCCCAAGCCTGGGCGAATGAGCTGTGAGGACATGCCCCCATGGCTGCACCGGCTTCATCACAGGGACCAGACAAAGCCCCTTTTCCGGGAAAAGCATCCTTGTGAGGCATGGCAGCCAAAACTCTGGGTGCAACCAGCTGAAGTATAAACTGTGCAAACTTGCCAAGAAATTCCAAAAACACTATAGATTCCATTTTTTAAAAAGGGACTTGTGTGATATCCAAATGCAGCACTAATTTAAGCAAAAGTGTGTAGACAAACTTGTTACAACCTACAATAGATGCAGGCTATGACAACTGGACCAAAATCCAGCTTCTTGGTAGCAATTAGCACAGAAAAAACAAACAAGGACTCAATAATGGAAGACTGTATCTTATTTGCTCTCTGAGCTTCAGCATCCTAATATGTGAAATGGGAATAATTCCGCTTACTTTATTCAGTTGTTATGAGGTATATAAAACCAAAGCAGTTTGGCTTAACAGTTAAGGAATGTGAGCATGGCAATCAGAAGCCTGGGTTCAAATCCCAGCCCTGTCACTTATAAGCTGTGTTTCCTTGAACAACTTACTCAACTGTTCTGGGCTTCTTTTCCCCATCTGTAAAAATGAAGATGCTAATGCCTATCTCAGGTGAGCTTAATTCAAATTAAAATAATTAATGATCATCACTATAGTGTTCAACACACAGTTTTCTTGCACATGATAGGAGCAAAGCTGAGCATGTGTGTGAACAGGCTCATCCAAAGAAGATGTGTTAACTAAGTGGATACTCAGTTTTGGTCAAAAATGTGCAATTTTCCATTAGCTATGAAATAGATTTCTTTTTTAAACAACAATTTAAAAAAATCTTTAGTGTTGAAAATATTACATATGTTCTCTTTTTTCCCCACTGATTGATTCCTACCTGAGGCCAGGAATTTTTTAAAAAAAAATTTACACATAATTTTTGAGCAAATATTTACCTCTCAGAAGGACATTCTAAACTTCCAGCTTCAAGCCACTCCTAATCTACTGAGTCCCAACTCCAATATTGAGCACATTTATGGAAATGATGGCATAAACTCACACTGCCAGCTAGGGGACTCCCGCCCTTCCCCCCCACCCCAGCCCCAGCAAAGGAGGTGCTAGCCCTGAAGGCCTGCCTGCGCACAGCCCAGGCTGTGGCCTAAGCTGATTGACCCACTTTGCCCGTTAATCACTTAGATTAATGCAGCCGCGTCAGCAGGCTAATGTGATGGAGGATTATAGAGAATCCAACTCTTGACTTATTTTGCATTTCACCCAAAAGCAGGGCGATTCAGATAAAGTCCAAGTTTTTTGCCATGCTGAGCCTCTGCAACCGGACAGTCTACAAGACTACAAGAGGCTCATATTCAGAATTAAAGTGCTACTGCCTCGTTGAAGAAAACCTAACCCTCAAAATTGTTCAGAGCCATGCCCGGGTGGGTTTGGTCTGTCCTCAGAGAGTCCCTCTGTCTCAGCCTGAGCTTTTGAAGCCAGGCCACTGGTTGGACCCTCAGCATCCCCCCTGATTCAGGGGTGTGGCCCCGCATAGGTCGCAGGTCATTAACCTGTCCATGCCTCAGCTTCCTCATTGGAAATATGAGAAACACGATACTGTCCACCACCTGGTGTTTTCAAGATGACTGTGAGCCTAACCTTGGTACCTAGCCTGGAGCTAGCTGTGGTCTCCTGTTGGCAGGATCTGGGCAAGAAAATAGGAGGCAAGGATCATGCACAGATCCCTCACACGGTCGCTCTGCACAGACAGGCAATGGGGAGGCTCGGCTCCCATGAAGGCCAAGATGTGGGACAGCAGCCTCTGCCCTCAGCCGGCTCCAGCTCCAGAACAACCACAGAACCTTCGCTGCCTGCCTTCCCGCAGGGTCAGGGAAAAGCCTGGCAGGTCCGCACACAATGGCTACCTGGGCAGCTGGGAACACAAAGCACACCAGAGGATTGGTGCAAAGGACACGGGAGAGCCTCCCTGCCTCCAGTCTGGAGGCAGAGCCTCCTCAGCCATAAATCAGCCTCTCTGAGCGTGGGCAGACCACCTGTGGCTGACTGCCTGCAACCACCCAAGCCGTCCTGGGCCCCAGGTCCAGGGGACCCCTCTCCTCAGAATGGTCCACGTTTGTACACATAGATCAGAAAGCTCAGGGACCTCAGGACTCCTTCATCATCACACTAACAGCCAGGGAACCACGGCTGTGACCCCAACTTCTCAGCCCTGGTCCAGCCGAGGCCCCACCATCCGTCCCCTCAGCATGCTTGGTGGCAGCCAATGGTTGAGATGAACATCTAGGTTCCCATTATTTCTGCAAACGCCTCCCCTGCCCCCCTGCTGGCTTCCCAGACGCTTCCAGGCAGGTGAGGAGAACAGACACACCACCCCAAATGCGTGTCTTTGGCACGAGGATCAGTGAGGATGGTTGTGTGTAAGATTCAGTGGACATGGAGAAGCTCTGGACACCAAGCAGAAGGTGTCATTGCGTAGGAGGCATTCACATTCACATCTACAGGGACATGTCCATCAGTGAGGGTGTCCTCTGTGCCAGGAAGGAGGCACGAGTGAATCTTTAGAAATCCCCTACAGGAAGGAGGCAGGACCGCAATCTGCACAGCAACCTTAGGCCTGTTTCTTGTTTTTCCCCCTCGCCTCTGAAACTGACTGCTCCCATCCCCAGCATCTTCTGACTTTAGCGGAGAGGGTATTGAACTTGGTGGGGTAGGCCATTTGGGGGAGTTGCTCAGTGTACAGCAGGTATACATACATGGTAATAAGTATTCCTGGGTCTCTCCTATGTGTACAGCAGGAGGTATACATGTTAAATAAGTGTTCCTGGGACTCTCCCATGTGTACAGCAGGAGGTATACATGTTAAATAAGTGTTCCTGGGACTCTCCCATGTGTGCAGCAGGTATACATGGTAATAAGTGTTCCTGGGACTCTCCCATGTGTACAGCAGGAGGTATACATGTTAAATAAGTGTTCCTGGGACTCTCCCATGTGTGCAGCAGGTATACATGGTAATGAGTATTCCTGGGATTCTCCCATGTGTGCAGCAAATATACAGGGTAATGAGTGTTCCTGGGTCTCTCTCATGTGTGCAGCAGGTATACATGTTAATAAGTGTCCCTGGGTCTCTCCCATGTGTATAGCAGGAGGTATACATGCTAATAAGTGTTCCTGGGTCTCTCCCATGTGTACAGCAGGAGGTATACATGTTAATAAGTGTTCCTGGGCCTCTCCCATATGTGCAGTAGGTATGCATGTTAACAAACTTCTGCTTGTTTTTCTTTGTTACTCTGTCTTTTCTTAGAAAGGATCTCAGCCAAGAGCTCCGAAGGGTGGAGGGGAATTATTTCTCCTTCTCTACACAGGCACTGGGCCCCCGAGGGGCTGGTGTCTCAGCGCCCCTGTCCCCCACAGGCCCCCACCACCACCCAGGAAACATGGAGCAGACTGCAGTGTGGGGACTGCTCCTGGCACAGAACCTTCGGACAGTCTCGGCATGCCCCCTTCTCCCCTCAGCCACTCTTCCCCCACCACCCACCACCCACCACCCACTCCCTGGTCCTGGAGCAAACTCCTTTGTACTGGCTTCCCTTTCCCTCCTTGCACTGGCCTCACTCGCCTGCCCTCAGGCTCAAAACCGCTCTGAGCACAACAGTGACTCAGAGAAGAAGTCTGAGCCTTGGCCAAGGACGAGCCCATGCCGTGGGCCCCGCACGCCCACCCCAGCAGCGGTCCAGCCCCAGAGAAGCCTCCGGAGCGAGCCCGCAGGGAGGTTGCAGGTTAATTGAGCTGCTCATTATGAAAGCCAATTTCTCAAACTGATAGCCATACCTAATAATTATCTAGTGCTGGGAGCTCGCAGAGGACTTTCACAGCGTTATCTGATTTCACTGCGCACAGCAAGCCTGTGAGGTGGTACTGCAGCCCCAGCTTGCTCGTGAAGAAACGAGGCTCAAGGAGAGAGTGACCTGCTCAGAGGGGGGTCACTACCTGCACAGCAGGAGCTGGGACCTGGCTTCAGCCCTTGGGAGGTGCCCCCTTCCTTTTGCCACGACCTTCTCCTCTCAGCCCCCTGTGGTTTTCTTCTTAATGTGACGAGGAGAACACAGCACCACACACCTGTCCTCCCCTTAAATACCTATTTTTTCTCTTGATCATAGATTAGGATCTTAATAATAGGTATTTCAGTGCTAGAATCAGATGACTGCGATCATAATTGTTCAGAAATGAGCCAGACTCTGGAACAACAGACCTCTGAGGTTCACGTACTCCTGAGGTCTGTGTTGTGGGGACTCTCTGCAGTCATTGCACAGCCCTCCCCCCGTCCCCCGCCACACACACACATA